CCCCCCCACCAATCCGAGAGGGGGGACATCGGATCTGTTAAAGGGCCGGCGCACAGAAACGATGGTGTCCTATATTCCCTGAGAGCTCGCTGCTGATGCCTGGATGGGTCCTTATCTACTTGGCAGTTCTGGGTTTTGGATGACTAATGGAGGATGTGCTGGCCTCTGAAGCCGCTGCATCCACTGCCAGCCATAACCCAGGCCCCCCCCTCCTTCTCTTCAGTCATTGGTTGCTAGGATCCCTGGTAGTCCTAGCAACCAGTGATGCTGAATGTGTTGCCCGTCCCCAGTATTGCTAGAGGATGGAAGAGTATCTTATTCTGTCCTCTCATGAAGCTCCGGCTCCACCTAAGTATGTGGGGACAATAATATAAAGGGGCGCTCTAAATGGGACAACCAATGTAAGAGTGCCTTCTAACTTGTTCCCATCAGAGTGCCCCCTTACACCACATGTCCTCGGGTGGGGACATCTGATGTAAGGGGGCGCTCTGATGGGGGTAACTGATGTAAGATACTATTGTATCTATCTATCTATCTATCGTATCTATCTATTGATATATACATAGTATCTGTTGTGTGGTAACATTGTGAAATTATACTTTGTATAAACTAGATTGATTCATTTATTACAGACCTTTTTTATATAGTGCCAACAATTTACACAGCGCTGTACATAATGCACATGCAGGGCCGGATTTACTTTCTCTGCTGCCCCAAGGCCAGGTTCCTCAATGCCCCCCTACCCGCCAAGTGATGGCCCACAAGCAGCGGAGTATTTAGCTTGCAACGGTGCAACGCCGCTCTCAGCCAATCTGCCGCTCCAGGCAAACGCCTTGTTTGCCTCGCGGCAGATACGCCCCTGGGCTGCATACAAGTGATCTCTGTGACATCGACGGGATCGCTTGTACAAAACGAGCGGCGGCTTCCCCGCTGCACATTTAGCTCTGCTTGCCCAAATCAGGGCTACATGTAGAAAACAACTACCCGCCCGGCGCCTGGAACTGCATGTCCCGGGCGTCGGGAGATAGAAATTCCACACCCCTGCTGCCCCTCTACTTCCTGCTGCCCCAAGGCCGGGACTTGGTTGGCCTTGTGGGAAATCCAGCCCTGTTCACATCAGTCCCCGCCCTCGAGGAGCTTACAATCTAAGGTCCCTATCTCGCATACCATACATACAGGGCAAATTTAGACAGGAACAAATTAACCTTCCAGCATGTCTTTGGAGTGTGGGAGGAATCCAGAGTTCCCAGAAGTAACCTACATAGACACAGGGAGAACATGCAAACTCCATGTAGATAGCCTCTTGACTGAACCGAGGACCTCAGTGCTGCAAGGCAAAAAATTAACGTTCTTAACCACTTCCTGTAAATACCCGTCATCCGCTGGCGAGTCTCCCCTGATGGAACGGAGGGAGATCAGCAGGCTTCCAGCCGTTTGTCTCCTCCGATCACTGGACCTGGAAGTGACGTGCAATTACATCACTTCCGGTGTCACTGGGCACAGTCTCCAGCTCCTAGAGCCAGAAGAAGAAGCTGGTGATGCAGATCTGTGCTTCCATCAGCTTCTTCGGGGTCCTTAGGTGACATTACGGGCCCTGATCTCCCCATAAAGAGGACCTGACGCATTATATTTGCTATTACATAGGGGGACTTGTTAGTCCCTTGTGTGATAGCAATAAAGTTGAGTGTGAAAAAAAAATAGTAAAAACTTAAAGTAACAGATTAAAATAAATAAATAAATTAGGATGGAAGCTGGAATAATGGAGGTAGCTGAACCTGTCTGTGTGGGTTTTCTGTACAAACTGTATAACTGTTAGCAATGGCTCGCTCCGTTCTTCTGTGTACAGAAAACCAGGCCCGTCTTTAACGCAGGGCAAAAGGGGCAGTTGCCCTGGGCCCAGTTATTGTTGTGGGGCCCAAAGCAGCCGCCCCTTGAGCCTGCACTGCTCGCTCTTTACCTGGAGATGCGGGATGTCAGTGTCCCGTCCCTTCTCCCCCCTCACCCTCCTGGTTTCCCTTATCTCCCCCGAGATAAGACAGACAGCAGAGATCGGCAGACCTTTGTCTGCTCTGCCTAGCAACTGATGGGCTGTCATAATTACCGTGTTCCCCCGAAAATAAGACACTGTCTCATATTTTTTTTTGGCTCAAAAAAAACACACTAGGTCTTATTTTTGGGATAGGTCTTATTTTTTTTTTTTTTTTTAATGTACAACAATCCACACTTGGGAAAAAAACACATCCAAATAAATTTGTCTGCACCAGGAAAGGCGCCCCCTGTTTGTGTTTTTTTTCCCTAGATTTTGCGGTCTCCCTGGCTGGTTTGGGGGCAGCATCCTGCAGACCTTTCTACACACGTGCTTTTTATTATTTATACATTTTTTAACAGACTTGTTTCTGATTACACTTGTGCTTATATTGGTCCATACTGGCGGAGTAGTCCTTTTTGGCGCTTTTCTGTGTTCATATCTGAACAATCCACACTTATTCATGTAGAAAAGTCTACGTGTATTCATGTACAAAAATATGGTGATCAGGGAATAAGGGGCGCCGAACCTTTCCAGGAGCAATTTGCTAACCAATCGCTGGCCAGAATGAGCGAAGCGCGCTTTCACTATGGATTCCTCACAGGCGGAGCACATTTGGTATCACTTCGCCTGTGACAGGAGTCGGCGCTATAGAGGAAGCATCGGCTTATGCGGTTCTGCTCCCTCCGGTGCCGCCTCGCTTCCTCTAGCGATGGCTTCGTTGGCAATCGCAAATTCTCTCCTGCGACTCTTCAAGTTCCTCCTTATGCCACCACCGGCCCTGGGAATGGTCACAACTATGTCTTATTTTCGGGGTAAGCACAGGGATCAGAGCCTATCATGCATGCATAGACCAGCCGGCCCGCCCATCTGCATCATCAGTTGCTAGGCAGACAGGGCGATGTTGGTGTGGAGAGAGAAACTGCATGGCAGGTAGAGGGCGTGGCTTGATGGGTAGGGGCGGGGGCCCAAGAAAATGTTTGCCCAGGGTCCAATCAATATTAAAGACGGCCCTGCAGCAAACCCACAGACAGGTTCAGCTACCTCCATTATTCCGGCTTCCATCCGAATCGCACTAAACAGGGTGTCCTCTACAGCCAAGCAAATCCGATACCACCGCATTTGCTCTGACACTGAGGACAGAGACGCACTCCTGAGCGCACTGGCTGATGCATTTCGGCGAAAGGGCTACAGGGAAAAGACTATTTCTCAGACATCCCAACTCTCCCGGACGCTCCGGGAGTCTCCCGCTATCAGCGGCTCCCGGGCCGCCCGGGAGAGAAACACTTCCTCCTGGAAAGGTTTAATCTGATTTTAAACCTTTCCCTGCGATCGTTGTTCTTTTCTGACATCGGGAGCCGCGGCCCGTCCGTCACTCAGAAAAGAAAAAAAGGCATAAGAATGCATAGCTAGATTCCTATTGGCTATTGCACTTTGCAATAGCCAATAGTTAACTAGCTAATGCACCCGCCCTCTGCTGCTGTCAATCAGCAGAGGGGGACCTTAATTTTTTCTATCCGGTCCTCTTCTGGTGATTGAAAGGAGCAGAGGGCGGGTGCAATAGGTAGTTTGCTATTGGCTATTGCAAAGTGCAATAGCCAATAGGAATCTAATTGCCTTAACTGACAAACTGTCATGTTGATCCGTATTGCTTCTGACCCGAAGCAGAGAGGTTCACTCTGGAAAGCTCGTCTTTTATATATTTTGTTAGTCCAATGAGAAAGGTATCATCGCACATTGCAATACTGCGTTTTTTTGTTGTTACATCTATATATATATTTTGATATACATTGTATATGGATGTTTTATGTCTGCTCGTTTGCATACATTTCTCCTCATCCTGTATCCCTTGCTGTTGTAGGCGTCAGCCACCATGCAGGTCCCGGACACGCCGGACGGATGTTTCCTCCCCGAACATCTCGACACGTCCGCCCTGGACATTGAACTGGATGAACTAGACTCCATACGGGACGATGATGATGGTGAGACCCGACAGAGGCGCCTTAGAATAAAATTGCATGCGATTATTTCTGTAAGAATCGTTTATCTGAAGGTTGCCCATACCAGGCCTGATATTTGTTATCGGTGAGAACGAGTAAAACATCAGTTGTGGTGGTTATGGTGGACTTGTGGTGGTTGGGTGTTGTGGTGGTTAAGGTGGACTTGTGCTGGTTGGGTGTTGTGGTGGTTAAGGTGCACTTGCGGTGGTTAAGGTGGACTTGTGGTGATTGGGTGTTGTGGTGGTTAAGGAGGACTTGTGGTGGTTAAGGAGGACCTGTAGTCAGATCTAATCCCAAATCCTATTGGAGCTTGCCGGATGTGTTCCCCTTTCCTCCATCCCAACCCTTGCTCACTTTAAGATGGAGGCAAGATGGCAGCACCCATACCAGTTTATATCTTGTCATCTATTGGTGGCATTTCATCTACAGACGACTATGTGATACTTATTATGGTACAGAGGTCATATATGATTCATTAGGGACTTAAAGGGGACCATCATGCATGAAATGAATGTTCTTCCACCACCCTTGCTTGTACACATTTGCAGACCATTTCCAGTTTGTTTTTTTTAATCATTAATTTTTTGGGTGTAGGACAAGGGGGTGGCGTAGTACTGACCCGGCCCCCTCAACAGCCTCTTGGGATGTCCACCTCGCACATCCCATGAGTTGGTGTTTGGGAAAGGGACAAATTATGGAATTTTTTGGATCCTATCTGGAACATGGTGGAGAAACCAGTGGCATGTCTAAGATCCCGCTGCGTGTTACATCATGGGACTGGCTGACAGTTGGCTCCCAGTGACGGGAGATCCAAGATGGTGGTGTGAAAGGCCAGAAGGCACAAAGAGAACTTCGGTTGCAAGAAGACAACGCTGGACTCCATGGACTAATTTGTTTCCCTCTTATACAGGAGCACTTGCATCGATAGGGTGGCGTTCCTCTTTAAAGCCTAACTCTGGGCATTTTTACTAGACCCCTGCAAAGGTTTTTGAATTCTTTAATATCAAAAGCAGCTCTGATGGCAATTGTTCACTCCTTTCAGGCGCTGTTCCCTGTGGTACCTGTTTTATCACAAGATGTCCTCGGTCTTGTGGATTGAATTACGCCCGGTGTCATTCGGGCCAGAAGACTGAGGACATACTGTGACCAGTGGCATAACAATCGCCATAGCGACCCAGGCGGCCGCTATGGGGGCCCGGGCACAGGGGTGCCCGGCCAGGGCCGCCTGGGTCACTATGGCATGTGGTGGTGCTGGCTGTCACAGACCCAGCTCAGCAGCGGCCACGGCGCATTTCCCCTCATAGCCGCTGCGGAGCTGTGTCAGTGACAGCCAGCCGCTGCGGCAGATGAGGGCGGTGTTCGGAATGGAGGAGGCGGGGCCCGCCTCCTCTTACATCACTGGCCAGCGACCTAAGAGCAGGTGGGGCCAGTGATGTAAGAGAAGGCGGGGCCCTTTGATAGAGGAGGCTGGGCCCCGTGACCACAGAGGCGCTGACAGGTAAGAGATCTCAGACCCTGCAGAGCCCACCATAGAGAGTCTATGGTGGGCTCTGCAGGGTCACTCTCCGCTGGGGCTCTGCAAGTGGCTTAACTAGCAATCACGGGGCCCCATACAAAATTTTGCTATGGGTCCCTGTGATTTCTAGTTACGCCCCTGACTGTGACTACAGGATGTCATGGTGCATCCCATGAGGGGGGCAACACCATGGTTCCCTGCACTTGCAGTGTGCTGACACAGAGAGCAGGGCCTCTCTCTGCATCACTGAGGACCATCGGAGCTGCCGCAAAGTACCCGGTGCTCCCGGAGCATGTGACCTCCCATGACGGAGTGCTTGGGCCTGAATGGCCAATCATCAGGTCCAATCCTGGTCAACTGAGTGAGGAGGTGATGTCGTCAGCGCTGTGTAAGCTCAGACATCACCTGACATGGAGCTTACACAGAGTTTAGACTCCAGGCTCTGATGGAGGAAGGGGGGCCGGGGTGAGCTTTCAGGAGAGCCTCTTTAAGTTGGTAGCAAAGAGATGATCACAGTGGTCTACAGAACAATCTCTAAGCCACGTGATGAGGATAAGTCACGCCGGTCATGTGTCCTACAGATAGATGGCCGGCGTGACTTATCCTCATCACGCGGCTTTAGAGATTGTTCCGTAGACCACTGTGATCATCTCTTTGCCTCCGTCCCATGTCATGGCATCGGCCTCCATTGTCGGGTAAGCTGACCCGTTTTATCCGTCGTGTTCACTGAACAATCTGAAACTTTGTTTATTTCCTGTTCAAACAAAAATTAAAGATTGCCCAGGTCGTCCTTCCACATTCCAGGGGAGCAGGTCAATCATTGCACAGCGGTCAAGGTCCTCGGGTTCATACTCGGCAGGAATTCAGCATTAAAGGCTGCTGACTTTACAACATGAGTGGTTTTTAACCATAAAGCATCTTCACTGTCTTAAAGGGAAACTCATTTTTTTTTTGCTACATAAAGGTGACCTGCGGCCTTCCCTTCAGTCTTCTATCTGACCTCCCGGCCTTCCCTTCAGTCTTCTATCTGACCTCCCGGCCTTCCCTTCAGTCTTCTATCTGACCTCCCGGCCTTCCCTTCAGTCTTCTATCTGACCTCCCGGCCTTCCCTTCAGTCTTCTATCTGACCTCCCGGCCTTCCCTTCAGTCTTCTATCTGACCTCCCGGCCTTCCCTTCAGTCTTCTATCTGACCTCCCGGCCTTCCCTTCAGTCTTCTATCTGACCTCCCGGCCTTCCCTTCAGTCTTCTATCTGACCTCCCGGCCTTCCCTTCAGTCTTCTATCTGACCTCCCGGCCTTCCCTTCAGTCTTCTATCTGACCTCCCGGCCTTCCCTTCAGTCTTCTATCTGACCTCCGGCCCTCCCTTCCGTCTTGCAGAGTTGTACTGGCTCCTCTCCTCTGATATCACTGCACCTTGGGAGCTCCTCACAATGTGCCTTAGAAGCTGCAGCAAGTCATTTAGAGCCCGCCTCATTTCCTGGCTGGAGGACGTCCAGCATCATCTAGAGCAGGGGTCTGCAAATGGCGGACAATGACATCCAGTGACCTGCTGAGCACTGAAGAGGATGGAACAGTATCTTCCGTCCTCTTCAGCCGCCCATTGCTCTCCGCCCCCAGCTTCTCTGTTCTTCCTAGCTCCGCCCAGTTCCACCCCCTGGATCCTACTAGCTCCACCTCCTGGCTGTGTCTGCTGACTTCAATTCCCAGCTAAGATACCCCAAAGGAACATGTGAGGACATTAAGGGGGCGCTCCGATGGGGACAGGCGGTGTAAGGGGGCGCTCCGATGGGGACAGGCGGTGTAAGGGGCTTGTCCCCGATGGGGACAATGTGCAGGTCATGAAAGAGGCTGCCCAAAAAACTTCCAACTGAAAGAAGTTTCCACAGGGGAGCGGTCAGAACTGTCAGGGACTGGTGTGTAGTTCTGCAAAACACCTATAAGAAATCATATCTGCTAAAGGGGGCAATATCAGCTCCTGAGGCTATGGGCGTACTTACTTTTTCCACAGTGCACTATCACATCTATTGATATTTTTGATGAATAAATGACTTGTATATAATTACAAACTCAGAATGTGTCTGCATATTTTTCAGATCCGCACAGCCGCTTTCTTGCCGTTTATAACCTGAAACCACTGAAACATCAAGGCTCCGTATTCCTGAAAGGAGTTCCGGTGACAGCGCACATATCACACACCGAACGCATTGCTGGAGGATCAAAGGTGTAAAAAAACGAAATGGTTAATAAGATGTGAGGAGGGTGGAGCTATGAGTCTGTCCTCCTCCTGCAGGGTGATACAGACAGAAGGAAGCTATGAGTCTGTCCTCCTCCTGCAGGGCGATACATAGAAGGGAGCTATGAGGCTGTCCTCCTCCTGCAGGGCGATACATAGAAGGGAGCTATGAGGCTGTCCTCCTCCTGCAGGGCGATACATAGAAGGGAGCTATGAGGCTGTCCTCCTCCTGCAGGGCGATACATAGAAGGGAGCTATGAGGCTGTCCTCCTCCTGCAGGGCGATACATAGAAGGGAGCTATGAGGCTGTCCTCCTCCTGCAGGGCGATACATAGAAGGGAGCTATGAGGCTGTCCTCCTCCTGCAGGGCGATACATAGAAGGGAGCTATGAGGCTGTCCTCCTCCTGCAGGGCGATACATAGAAGGGAGCTATGAGGCTGTCCTCCTCCTGCAGGGCGATACATAGAAGGGAGCTATGAGGCTGTCCTCCTCCTGCAGGGCGATACATAGAAGGGAGCTATGAGGCTGTCCTCCTCCTGCAGGGCGATACATAGAAGGGAGCTATGAGGCTGTCCTCCTCCTGCAGGGCGATACATAGAAGGGAGCTATGAGGCTGTCCTCCTCCTGCAGGGCGATACATAGAAGGGAGCTATGAGGCTGTCCTCCTCCTGCAGGGCGATACATAGAAGGGAGCTATGAGGCTGTCCTCCTCCTGCAGGGCGATACATAGAAGGGAGCTATGAGGCTGTCCTCCTCCTGCAGGGCGATACATAGAAGGGAGCTATGAGGCTGTCCTCCTCCTGCAGGGCGATACATAGAAGGGAGCTATGAGGCTGTCCTCCTCCTGCAGGGCGATACATAGAAGGGAGCTATGAGGCTGTCCTCCTCCTGCAGGGCGATACATAGAAGGGAGCTATGAGGCTGTCCTCCTCCTGCAGGGCGATACATAGAAGGGAGCTATGAGGCTGTCCTCCTCCTGCAGGGCGATACATAGAAGGGAGCTATGAGGCTGTCCTCCTCCTGCAGGGCGATACATAGAAGGGAGCTATGAGGCTGTCCTCCTCCTGCAGGGCGATACATAGAAGGGAGCTATGAGGCTGTCCTCCTCCTGCAGGGCGATACATAGAAGGGAGCTATGAGGCTGTCCTCCTCCTGCAGGGCGATACATAGAAGGGAGCTATGAGGCTGTCCTCCTCCTGCAGGGCGATACATAGAAGGGAGCTATGAGGCTGTCCTCCTCCTGCAGGGCGATACATAGAAGGGAGCTATGAGGCTGTCCTCCTCCTGCAGGGCGATACATAGAAGGGAGCTATGAGGCTGTCCTCCTCCTGCAGGGCGATACATAGAAGGGAGCTATGAGGCTGTCCTCCTCCTGCAGGGCGATACATAGAAGGGAGCTATGAGGCTGTCCTCCTCCTGCAGGGCGATACATAGAAGGGAGCTATGAGGCTGTCCTCCTCCTGCAGGGCGATACATAGAAGGGAGCTATGAGGCTGTCCTCCTCCTGCAGGGCGATACATAGAAGGGAGCTATGAGGCTGTCCTCCTCCTGCAGGGCGATACATAGAAGGGAGCTATGAGGCTGTCCTCCTCCTGCAGGGCGATACATAGAAGGGAGCTATGAGGCTGTCCTCCTCCTGCAGGGCGATACATAGAAGGGAGCTATGAGGCTGTCCTCCTCCTGCAGGGCGATACATAGAAGGGAGCTATGAGGCTGTCCTCCTCCTGCAGGGCGATACATAGAAGGGAGCTATGAGGCTGTCCTCCTCCTGCAGGGCGATACATAGAAGGGAGCTATGAGGCTGTCCTCCTCCTGCAGGGCGATACATAGAAGGGAGCTATGAGGCTGTCCTCCTCCTGCAGGGCGATACATAGAAGGGAGCTATGAGGCTGTCCTCCTCCTGCAGGGCGATACATAGAAGGGAGCTATGAGGCTGTCCTCCTCCTGCAGGGCGATACATAGAAGGGAGCTATGAGGCTGTCCTCCTCCTGCAGGGCGATACATAGAAGGGAGCTATGAGGCTGTCCTCCTCCTGCAGGGCGATACATAGAAGGGAGCTATGAGGCTGTCCTCCTCCTGCAGGGCGATACATAGAAGGGAGCTATGAGGCTGTCCTCCTCCTGCAGGGCGATACATAGAAGGGAGCTATGAGGCTGTCCTCCTCCTGCAGGGCGATACATAGAAGGGAGCTATGAGGCTGTCCTCCTCCTGCAGGGCGATACATAGAAGGGAGCTATGAGGCTGTCCTCCTCCTGCAGGGCGATACATAGAAGGGAGCTATGAGGCTGTCCTCCTCCTGCAGGGCGATACATAGAAGGGAGCTATGAGGCTGTCCTCCTCCTGCAGGGCGATACATAGAAGGGAGCTATGAGGCTGTCCTCCTCCTGCAGGGCGATACATAGAAGGGAGCTATGAGGCTGTCCTCCTCCTGCAGGGCGATACATAGAAGGGAGCTATGAGGCTGTCCTCCTCCTGCAGGGCGATACATAGAAGGGAGCTATGAGGCTGTCCTCCTCCTGCAGGGCGATACATAGAAGGGAGCTATGAGGCTGTCCTCCTCCTGCAGGGCGATACATAGAAGGGAGCTATGAGGCTGTCCTCCTCCTGCAGGGCGATACATAGAAGGGAGCTATGAGGCTGTCCTCCTCCTGCAGGGCGATACATAGAAGGGAGCTATGAGGCTGTCCTCCTCCTGCAGGGCGATACATAGAAGGGAGCTATGAGGCTGTCCTCCTCCTGCAGGGCGATACATAGAAGGGAGCTATGAGGCTGTCCTCCTCCTGCAGGGCGATACATAGAAGGGAGCTATGAGGCTGTCCTCCTCCTGCAGGGCGATACATAGAAGGGAGCTATGAGGCTGTCCTCCTCCTGCAGGGCGATACATAGAAGGGAGCTATGAGGCTGTCCTCCTCCTGCAGGGCGATACATAGAAGGGAGCTATGAGGCTGTCCTCCTCCTGCAGGGCGATACATAGAAGGGAGCTATGAGGCTGTCCTCCTCCTGCAGGGCGATACATAGAAGGGAGCTATGAGGCTGTCCTCCTCCTGCAGGGCGATACATAGAAGGGAGCTATGAGGCTGTCCTCCTCCTGCAGGGCGATACATAGAAGGGAGCTATGAGGCTGTCCTCCTCCTGCAGGGCGATACATAGAAGGGAGCTATGAGGCTGTCCTCCTCCTGCAGGGCGATACATAGAAGGGAGCTATGAGGCTGTCCTCCTCCTGCAGGGGGATACAGACAGAAGGGGGCTATGAGTCTGTCCTCCTCCTGCAGGGTGACACATTTATATATTTGTATTTCATGGTTTGTACTCTATGTGTCACAGATCCGGGAGAGCACTCTGTACTCTGTATACCTCACACACGGCCCTTTCCGGTGGATCATAAGGAGGAAATACCGACATTTCCAGGAACTTCACCGCGATCTTCTCAGACACAAGATCTTTGTCTCCCTTCTTCCCCTCAATCCTCTCTCTCGGTGAGCCAACGTTCAGATGTGACTTCCTCCTCGTGTTCTATAAAGACTCTCCATGTGACATCATATTCAGATTGTCGTTCATTTCCCAGATTCACCGTGACACGTTCCCGCGCCGTGCCGACTTCCGAGGAGTTGCCTTCCCTGCCTCACGCCTCTGGCGAGGCCTCCAGGCAAATGTCCAGCAAACAGGTGCGTGTTCCTGGAAGGTGATCTCCGTCTCCGAGTCTGGAATCCTGTGATAATGGCGTGCGTATAGCGTTCCTGCCTATAATGATATACACGGCGCGGCAGACAGACGTGTGATTGGAGGAGGGTTTGCTTGTCAGTCTGGCTCATCTATAATACAGATGAGACGATCTTTAGATAAATGTGAGGACAGGAAGTCAGCTTAATAAAAAGATACAAAGTCAAAGACAAATGATAACAAATAAGAACACCGTCTGTATCTGGAGAGCGGTGATGTCACTCCTGTATTATATATCTTGTATCTGGAGAGCGGTGATGTCACTCCTGTATTATATGTCTTGTATCTGGAGAGCGGTGATGTCACTCCTGTATTATATATCTTGTATCTGGAGAGCGGTGATGTCACTCCTCTATTATATATCTTGTATCTGGAGGGCGGTGATGTCACTCCTCTATTATATATCTTGTATCTGGAGAGCGGTGATGTCACTCCTCCTATTGTATGTCTTGTATCTGGAGGGCGGTGATGTCACTCCTCTATTATATGTCTTGTATATGGAGTGCAGCGATGTCACTCCTGTATTATATATCTTGTATCTGGAGAGCGGTGATGTCACTTCTGTATTATATATCTTATATCTCGAGGGCGGTGATGTCACTCCTCATGTATTATATGTCTTATATCTGGAGGGTGGTGATGTCACTCCTGTATTATATGTCTTGTATATGGAGAGCGGTGATGTCACTCCTGTATTATATGTCTTGTATCTGGAGAGCGGTGATGTCACTCCTGTATTATATATCTTGTATCTGGAGAGCGGTGATGTCACTCCTGTATTATATATCTTGTATCTGGAGAGCGGTGATGTCACTCCTGTATTATATATCTTGTATCTGGAGGGCGGTGATGTCACTCCTGCATTACCATCGTTCTCACATTGTCTATGATTTGTGTTTTGTAGAAGTATCTGGCGGAATATCTCAACAGACTTCTGGAAAAATCCTTCTACCGGAACTATCATGCTATGGTGAGTTCTCCTTCATTGTTCCTCCTCCCTCTACACTTCCCACCGTGATACTTACTCACTTTTTAAGTGGGCCTGTCACCTCTGGATGGTATTAAATAGGGATACAGCCATACCGATACTAGTATCGGTGCCGATACCGAGTATTAGGGTGAGTACTCGTACTCGCCCAAATGCTCCGATACCTATATGGATGTGTGAAGGTGGTCACATGTGCCTTATTCATGTTACCTTAGGGTTAAAGTTAACTTCCGGCCTTCCCTCCAGTCTTGCATAGTTGTACCGGCTCCTCTCCTGGACTGAAATGGCTTCCTCTGATTTCCCTGCACACTGCGAGCTTCTCACAATGTGCATTAGAAGCTGCGGCAAATCAGATAGAGCCCGCCTCATTTCCTTGAAGTGAATGGCAGCGTAGCCACGCCCTCCGGCCACAACCCGATCGCCCTCACGGGATCTCAAGACACATTGTTCCTGTGGTCCGGTGCAATCAAAATAGTGCTTGTAGCATTTGATCGGACCGGACCGCAGGCACAATGTGCCTTGCGATCCCGTGCGGGCGATCGCACTGTGGCCGGAGGGCGTGGCTACGCTGCCATTCACTTCAATGGCTAGCCACGCCCCCACAAAATACTGACCCGGCCGCAATGCGATGCAGTGCGTTCCGGCCAGAACGTGGCCGGAACGCACTGCATATGGTGTGAACAGGCCCTAAATGGTTCACCTTAATAATGGCCTTTCCAGCTGCGCATACTCATCATCCATTTACTCCACACAGGAAGTCAATTCTTCACGTGTAAGCTTCGGGTTTCCTCTAGACATGTGCGATTCGTTTCGTTTCGAATCGAAATTCGTACGAATTTTCCTGAAATTTGTAAATTCGGAAGAATTCGAAATCCGAATTGCAGTTTCCGAATTATATCCGAAATACGAAATTCCATTAACGAATTTCGGATCCGAATTTCTTTGAAACGGGAACTAATATTACCCCTGTAAATGAGGTTGAACAACATGAAAAGATTTTTTTTTAATCCGAGATACGGATCCGCTGCTGAGAGTTGCATTACAAAACACAGGCAGGAAATACGAAATTCCGTTGACGTATTTTCGTTCCGTTACGAACATTCGTTATATTGAAGGTAAAAAGCAAAGTACATTTATATTGGAGTTGATGGAAGTTTTTTTTTAAGTCCGAAATACGAAATTCGGATACGGAATCCGTTAACGGAATTCGTATTTCGGATACAAAAACAACTACCACATCGACTCCAATATTAACAAAGGTATTTTTGCTTTTTAACTTCATCATAACGAATGTTCGTAAAGTTACGAAAATGTGCCAAAACTAACGAAAATCCGTATTTCGTACGAATCCGAATTGAGTTTCGGATACGAATTACGAAATACGAAATAACGGATATTCCGAAACGGAACAAATTTTTTGACGGCGCACAAGTCTAGATTGCTCTAAAGCTTCTAGAAGGCCAACAACTCCCTTTCCTCACCAATCTGATAATGTTGGGTGTGTGGGTGGCCGAGATCCATCACCCCTATGTGGGTAGAACGGGAAGCGAGTGGCCTGCTCCTCCAACCTAGAAATATCAGAAATCCCTTTTGGCTCCCTGCGGCTGCACAGAACAGGGGAGAGCAAAGTAAAGCTGAGTATGTGCAGCTGGTGGGGCCACTATTACTAAATGGTTGACTTATAAAGTCAACCATTTATTAAACGGCCGTTGACTATTCATTTGTCTATGAAGAAGAAAAAAATGATTGCAGTTATTTTTCAGCACGGTGGTGTCCCCCCGGAGTAGAGCAGCACATACAACCGGCATCACATACAGAGAATTAACCCCCTAATGGTTCACATTGTCACCACACACGCTCGGATGTTGCGTTCTCATACTGGCCTGTGCCGGTTATGGCCGGGGCTAGTTCCTGAACTGCATATCTTGTCTGATGTATATCATATTCAGGGTCTCCTGTCCTTCTCAGATTGCTTCTCTGCCTTTTTTTTTTCTAGATGGAGTTCCTGGAGGTCAGTCATCTGTCCTTCATTGCAGACCTTGGGCCTAAGGGACTGTAAGTAACAAAACATACCGTGCTGAAAGGAAAACTAGTGTAACACTGGCCGAAATGATTTTTTTATATAATATTGTATAGAGTGAGGAACAGTGGCGTCACTAGTGGGGTGCGGGGGGTGCGGCCCGCACCTGGGTCACACCATTGGAGATTTGACACACACCCCCACCCCAAAAAAAAAAAAAGTCGGGCACCTGGCCATTGTTCAGGTCCAGCATCTAAGTATCATTGGTTGAAGCACTTTTCAGCCCTGATGAAAGGGAACCTTTTGAGCCCCTGAAATGTGGTTGTTGGTGAAATGTGACTTTCAATAAAGTTGATTTGCAGGAATGAGTCTTCTACTTTCCTCACCGCACACCAGTAATCAAACCCTGGTAGAAGATCTCACCCCTCCAGTGGCCTACCTCTATAGCGACCCACGCGGTCGCTATGGGGCCCAGAGCATCGGGGCCCGGTCAGGTGGCCTATGCAGGGCCTCAGGTGGGCTCTGTGGGGCCTCAGGTTGGCGCTGCGGGGTATATGGTGGGCCTTGCAGGGTCTATGGTGGGCTCTTCAGGATCTCAGGTGGGCGCTGTGGGGTCTACGGTGGGTTGTGCGGGGTCTCAGGTGGGCACTGCAGGGTCTATGGTGGGCTCTGCAGGGTCTATGGTGGGCTCTTCAGTGTGAAAGTGAATGAAGTCTGGTCCTTGCTAAGCGATTTCTGATTGGCTGCTTTGGGTTTCTACTCCCTGTACATCTCTTCCCTGACTGCGTGTATCCATTTTACCTTTTTCCAGGGAAGGTTTCATACAGAAGAGATCGGGGGGACACCGGATTCCGGGTCTCAACTGCGTCGGCCATCATCAGTTCTGCTACCGTTGGTCAAAAAGGTCAGATAGATGAACTTTGAATTGCTAACACTATCCAGAAATTGTCACATTTTATATTTGTAATTCTCTGTTTAGAGGTAAAATGTAACACTGACAGAGGTTGGGACAAACTATAACATCTCCAGAAGTATTTATAGTCCCCTTCCCACAGTTTGATTTAATATACCGTACACATGTAATGCTGAAACTCTTCCACCCCTCTGACAGCGCCATGGGTTGTCCCAACTGGGGTAACTGTCCTTTTTGCTGGACAGCTTGGCCTGCATTTATATATGAAGTGAGGAGATTAAGAGGGGACATGATTTTGATGTACAAGATGTTGAATGGTGATAGCAACATCAGCAATAAACTTTTTATGCTAAACTCCCTAACAAGGACTAGAGGCCACCACCTAAAACTGGTGGAGAAAAGATTTAACCACAAGGGGCGTAGGGGGTTCTTCTCAGAGCGGTTAGGGTCTGGAATTCGCTGCCACACGCAGTGGTATCAGATGAGAGTTTTGAATCATTCAAAAAGCATTTGGACAATTTCCCCAGAGACCGCAACATACAGGGGCACAGGTACTCTTAAAAACAAGAACACACATGGACTCATACACACGCATACACATACAGAATCACATACATACACGCTATGGGTTGGACTTGTTGGACCTGTGTCTTTTTTCAACCTCAAATACTATATCAAGTAACTATGTAACTATATGGAGAACAGCTTAAAGATGTGAAATGATACAAAATTAATTTATATACTGAACACTGCCCTTAAAGGAGAACTATGAGGGGGGGGGTGCTTTTCACTCACCTCATAGTACTAGCCGATCTGTGACAATGAGACTGTCACAGGTCGGCTTAGTAGATCGGGAGGTGAGAGAACACATACCGGTGCTCGCTCACCCCCGGATCTTGTCAAAGCTCTCTGCCGTGACAGGGGAGGGGCTGGATTTCCCCCCTCCCCGCTCCGATCCTCTAGCGCTGATTGGCGGAACGGACGGGGGAGGGGGCGGGTACAGCTGGCTCTGCATCTAGATAGGCAGAGCCAGCTGTCACTTACGCAGCTGGGCGGATCCCGGCATAATTGTCGGGATCTGCTTCAGCTGCGGCGTCTCAGTATACCGCGAGCTGTAGCTCCCTATATACTGAGCTTAGGGTGACGGGATGATGCTAGTTTGTGTCCTCCCGTTACCCTAAGGAGAACTATGGGGAAAAGCCTTGACCCCATAGTTCTTCTTTAATAACGACATATGTTACCGGAATGCAGAATTCTTGCCAGTAGTGGTCCTCTAACCAAGTTCACGGACGCTGCTCAATGGGGATCAGATATTTAATTCTTTCAGCCTTCTTTGGGTTGAAGTTTAGATCCTCCCCTTCAGGCTTGCACGGTTGTTCCGGCTCCTCTCCTGGACAGAAATTACTCTGATTTCACTGCACACTGTGAGCTTCTCACAGCAAATTCAGTGCCATTTTCCCCTTTGGATTGGGGGAGACTCTCTGCCTAGGGGGCCTCTATTGAGTCCGTGCATCTCCCTTTGAGCATGTTCTAGGGATGCACCGATACTAGTATTGGTATCGGTGCCGATACCAATATTTGGGCGAGTACTCGTACTCGCCCAAATGCTCCAATACTTACCCCGATACTGGAACTTCTGGTCAGAGGTAGATTTCCTCTGACCGGCAGTGCTGCCGGCTTCCCAGCGAATCAGGAAGCTGAGCTACGGGTAATGACTAGCGGTCTGACTTCCTGATTGTCCTGGAAGCCGCCTCCATGCTGTCTGGCCAGCTCCATGCTTATTGGCTGGAAGCCAGTTTCCCAGCCACCCAGCATGGAGCCGGCTTCCCGGCCAATCAGGAAGCTGGGCCGCGGGTGATGACCTGCCTCCTGGCTTCCTGATTGGCTGGGAAGCTGGCTCGATGCTGATTGGCTGGAAAGCCGGCTTCAGTTGTAAGGTTCTTCAGGTGGCTCTGTAGGTTTTTTTGACCCCCTCTGTTAACCTGTTGGCTTTTGGGGGCCTGATAGCCTTTTGTTTGCTGCATCACCCAATCCTGCGTTTGGGTGTCCCAATGTTCCTGAATATTTTTTTTGCTGTCTTCCATTGGGGAGATTTATCTTTTTATGTAGATGTAGCCCGATGGCCGTGTGCCGGAGTGCATGCTCTTCACGTGCACTGCTCACGCGGCACCAGGCATCCCATCATGTATTGCATTAACTCTTTACTGCCTTGCTGCCTTTGAAGTGGCTCAGATCCCCTTGTATACTTTGAACACAGGGCTCTCAAGGTACTAATGACCTCGGGCAGAGTCACTGCACTTCACCTCTTCCTGGAAGATCACTCCCCTCAGAGAACCCGGCCTGGCCTGACCAGTGTTACCTATGATCTTTCCCCACTTACACTCCTTTAGTTGTTACCGAAGCAGTCCAGCCCACATCAAGCTCGTTCCCATGAAAATCCCCCATCAAGAGCCACAGTCCACACAAAGAGCCTTTTCAATGCTTTACTGAAACCTTGTTCGTCTGCACATATGTATTACACACTCCAGTCATCCACTGCTTTGGTGACGGCACAAGTCATATAAACACACCATAGTTACCAACGATGGTTAGAGATGAGAATGGAGGATGGCTGTCTCTCTCTCTCTCTCTCTCTCTCTCTCTCTCTCTCTCTCATCTTTCTCTCTCCATCTCACTCTCTCTTTCTCTCGCTCTCTCTCTCGTCCCTCCTCCCCCCCAGTGATCGTCCACAAAGAAATGACCATACAAATCCAAAAATAGGTATACTGTAGAGCGGTGTTTCTTAAGCTGTGTAACCTCAGGCCCCACATTTGTCCTCGGTCATTAAGTCTCGACCCAAGTCGCATTGCAATGGAGCGCACAGAATTAGGGTACTGTGTGTGCTGGTGCGGGCGAACGAACTGTGGGTGGGAGGTGCGTTTGGGGTACCATTTAAATGAATGGCAACGCAACACGCCTCCCACACCAGAATTCACGGTAGGTGCGATCGTGTGGTACAGTCGCACTGTACTAGTGTAAACGGGCCCTCAAGAAACACTGACGGTCACAAAGCCGCACACATACACACTCCAAAAAATTTTGAGATTATTTTTTAAGATCCACCGAGTCTCCCTACCTCGCGAGAACCGGAGTGGATCCCCAGCCTGGGGTCCGGTGTGGGCTGCTGCGCAGTGATGGAGCTCCATCCATATGTGCATTGCTTGTACAGCTCCCTTGTGTGCACTGTAGAGATTCCGGGAGCCAGAATGTGATGTCACTCCACTCCAGGTACCTCTACAGGACATGCGAGGGAGCTGTAAGCAATGTATATATGGATGGAGCTCACTTGTGGCCATAGCCCCATCCCACCCCACCTCAAGCTGACACTCGGACCCAGGCAGCATATTTTGAATGGCTGCTTGGTGGGAGGATGGACAGTGCTGCGCTAGGGGGAGGCTGAGGAGCCTCTCACCTAGAAAGTGGAAAGGCACGCGGGGACCCACTGATCACGGGGGGTCACGACCCACTTTTGGGTTATGACCCACCAGTTGAGAACCGAGGCTGTAGAGGGACTTGCGAGTCTCAGAGTAGATAAGTCTATGCAACAGCATTTAAAAAAAAAAAAAAATTTAAACAAACTTTATTCTGTTTTTACGGTCATCCCCCTGAGGGTTCTGACCTTTTGTGCTAAGGTATACAGTTTACATCACGTGAGATCACTTACAGCGACCTCAGCACTTGTAACAGAAGCAACAGCATTTTTATTGTCGGGGTTTCAAGGGAGCTCAGTCCGTCTTCATCTTGAGATCTGTCAACACTTTGACCATAAAAAGCTTTGACTTATCTCCGCTTTAAGTCCCTTTATACCTATTTTGGATTTGTCTTAATAAAAATGAATATATTGTCCCCAATGATTGCATTTTATTTCACTTCATAATTTTATAAGGTCGATTTTATAATCATTTCGTGAGAAGAGAGGCAAAAATAAACGTTCACAGTTTATTTTATTTTCAGGTCGAATGTAACACTCGTAACATACTGCATTGTGGCCACTAGATGGAGCTGAGGAGCAGAGGAAAGACTTATTTGATTCCTATGCTCCTCAGCTCCATCTAGTGGCCATTATGTGGCACTACATTACATTGGACCTGTGTTTATTGTATGAAGAATATTTATTTATGCCGCGGTGATGAAATGTTTCTCTCTGTCTAGGTGGCTGGTGGTGAAGGATTCCTTTCTTCTCTACCTGAAACCGGATTCTGGGGAAATCTCCTTTGTGCTCCTCTACGACCCGAAATTCCAAACGCAAGTTGGTAAAAGACACGCCGGGACCAAATATGGTGTCAGGATAGAGAATTACTCCAGGTAAGAGGAGACCGTCCTCCTCCCCACTATCAAATGTCTCTTCTCTTCATTGTGTTGTGTCAAAATAGAGTGAGATATCCTCTCATGAAATACTCTGCTCCTTCCTCTATAACTCTCCTGAAATACTCTGCTCTGCTGGAGGACTCTGCTCCTTCCTCTAACACTCCTCTCCTGAAATACTCTGCTCCTTCCTCTATAACTCTCCTCTAATACTCTGCTCTGCTGGAGGACTCTGCTCCTTCCTCTAACACTCCTCTCCTGAAATACTCTGCTCCTTCCTCTATAACTCTCCTGAAATACTCTGCTCTGCTGGAGGACTCTGCTCCTTCCTCTATAACTCTCCTCAAATACTCTGCTCTGCTGGAGGACTCTGCTCCTTCCTCTATGACTCTCCTCTCCTGAAATACTCTGCTCTGCTGGAGGACTCTGCTCCTTGCTCCTTCCCCTAACTCTGCTCTCATGAAATACTCTGCTCGGACTTCTTACTTGTTTGTAGTTAAGTATGCTGAGCTGCATGGTACGGTGCTGATATCTCTGTCAAGGGTGCACATTGACAGTAAATGGATAAACCGTACTATAGAATGGAAATGGCGAGACTTATTTGCACAGTTTTTGTTACTTTTGAGAAAACCTTTTTTTGTTGGGGAACTTGAATTAGATATAATGATGATGATAAAAATATGTTATTATTAATTATTATTATTATTAATCATTTTTATTATTATAGGAGAACTATGAGGTTAGTGTTTTTCCCCATAGTTCTCCTCAGGGTCCCAGGAGGACATAAACTAGGGTCCTCCCATCACCCAAAGCTCATTATATAGCAAGCTACAGCTCGCTATATACTGAGACCTCCGCAGCCGGGACGGATCCCGACATTACTGTCGAGATCCACCCAGCTGCGTGATTGACAGCTGGCTCTGCCTATCTAGAGACAGAACCAGCTATGCCTGCCCCCTCCCC